ATTTACCTTACCTGGACCTTCCTGATTTTATCCCTGAAGATTTTATGAGAGAAAAGGTAATCAACACCAAACAACTGTGCTATATATTTCTGAACAAATACCCAAATGGCATAGTAGAAAGGACACATTATGCAGTCTAGGGGAGATGGCATGCAACAGATGTATGCTGTCAAATGTCAACCTACATAAAAAGTACTGAGAAGATTTTATGTTAGCATATATCAAAATCTATCGTTATAAATTATGGAATGGCTTAAAGTCCAGCATAGAGTGTATCAGGTTATTTGAATTCAAAACATATGCCTACATGCCAAAAGAAAGTCATTCCAAGCTTGATGACAGAACAACAACAGAAGTAATACTGGTTGACTACGGTGCCAGCAGTAAGAGATATAGAATCTTACAATAAAAGACTAATACAATCATAATAAGTCACAGTACACACATTGACAAAATCCAGAAAACAAATAGCATATTCCTTGAGTAACCGAAGGGAAATCTATCTGTTGACCACGAAGAACAAAAGCACAGCTGTAACAAAGTAAGAATAAAGAATCAGAAATGAATACATGCCACCTGGATGAAAAGTTACTGGGGAAAAAAGCTGACATTCAACAACATATATTGCACAAGAAGATGTTGACAGATAAAAGGCAGGACTAGTTGCTATGGCGTACCCCCTACACTTATGTGATAATTATGTTAAAAAAGTGAAGTACAACACTGGAAGAGCATCATTTACTGTAGCCACAGGAAATATAATGCTTGTTAGGAATGTAAACCTGCATTACAAAATGAACAAATGTATGAAGGTCTCTTCATAGACCAGTCACCAGGTTTTGAGGATTCTGAAATATAGAAATCTCAGTACAAAACTCAAAAGATAATCTTTGGTCACACACAGACAGCAAGAATACAAAATGACAAAATGAATGAAGTGTTACAAACATACGCTTTTCCCAGATTACCAGAGTAACATGATTATATTCCCAGACTCGAGATGACTAGTAGACATGTACTCTGATTTATGTTGATAAATTAATCTGTTTTGAGCAACAATAATACTATGACCAAATAGTAGGTAAATTGTATCAGAACTTTCACATCACTCAGCTTGACATTCAAATGTAGAGAATGTGATGAGAGTTATCTATTGAACGACAACTGAACAGTGACTCTATTACCTTTAAACTAAGCTAAGCAAAAAAGGTGGATCAGAGAATCATGTTCATTGTAATGGTCAATATCAGATGGTGAATTGAATATTGCTGCAACATTAAGGGGACTTTCCAGACCCCTAAAAGTAAGATTCCAGTTCTCATACCCAAAGTGCTAGTCGCACTTCCAATCCTTCTAATTAGTGAAATAAAGGGGGGCAGCACTGCAGGCACTATAACAACTTCAATAAGTTGATGTTGTTAAAGTGCCTACAGTGTTCCTTTAAGCTGATGATTTCACACAAAAAAAGAAGTAATAGGGGAGGAGGAGAATTGAAAATTAAGGAACAATTATTAAATAACCATAAAGTGTATTAACATACAATAACTAAAATAGACACAGGTTTGCCTAAAATCAATGTTCACGCTGACAAAAGTCATCATTCATGTCCCTACCTTTCTGATTAATCCCAGAAGATTTGAATTCTACTCCTGGCAACAGTACTGCAGCTTTATAGAGTTTGGGCCATACTTTCATATTTAGTTTCTCGGAATACATTACACTCTTTAGTAATCCCTTTAATAGTGCTCTGTTCTCCAGAAAAAAAAATGTGTTTAAAAGCCCAATAGCACCATCTGAATTTGAATACTTTTTTTTGAGGAAGAACTAAAATGTTTCCATTGTTGTTGAACTTTTATTTTTTCCTCACCAAAGTTAGCACAATTGAAGGTGAGTATAAGACACTTTTTGAAAAAGCCCAATGCACCTATGCCACAGAATATGGACAAGGACATTGCCCAGGTAATCATGGAACAATCTACAGCAGATGTCATAATGTACCAGTGCAATTTATTTAGTGATCAACACATACCATTATTTCTGAAGTTTTTATTCACAATCACTTTCAGAAACCCAGAGATATATTTCATAAAATGATGATATTACAAGAAGGCACTAACTAAGTAGAAAAGACTGATAATCACTGATTCTTGCCTTCTCCAAGCAGACACTACCAGACCAAGTTCCATGAAATCCGACCACCTGGCCAGCTATCTGTGCTGGTTATATCCCCAGGAGCAGTCTACCAACTCAGGCCAGCCGCATGAAACAGTTCATCGGCTCGTAATTCAGTGGCGGGATACAACATATGTGGGAATTACTGGGGGAAAACTGTGTATTTGTGGGAATTCTGTTGAGGCACCCTGTTGAGGTTAATTAGATGTACTCCCAGACACAGAGGCACCTAGGTGGGATCTGAATTGTTTTATTTAAATACCCTATGCTGAGGGATTGTGTATATATTTGTGCATTGTAACCAAAACTTATTCCTGTTTTCAGCCGTCATCAAATTTAGACTGATGTTTGGGTGTGTTGCTATAACACCGAATGCTCTGTGGGAAAAGGAGAGAGACTTTGGCAGAGATACTTTGGTCGAGTATCGGAGTTCATCCACATATGAGAACAGTAAATTTGTTTTTTTGTTTTGTATTTTTTGTGGGCCAAGCTGTTGACATATTTTCAGAGGATAGGGGGTAAAAGTGGATAAACAAGGAATGTATATGAATATTCACTATCTCTTTATATGAGAGGCAATTGAGCATCACCCGATAATAGAATGCCAATAGACATCTCTATGTTTATGAATTACAGCTGTATATATAATGAGCCTTGATGAATTACTTCTGAGTGCAAATAGTGCAAGAGAGAGGAACACTACACGCTGGCATAGGAGATGCAGTGGGAAATGTAATGAAATATGAATATTTTTCTGGAGAAGGCAGTAGCAAAATGCCAAAGAAATGAAGAGCATGGGTATTACTGGTATGATTGATAGAGTCAAAAGCATCAGAGAGATCAATAGGGATTAGAATGTTGTACCTTCCTTGAAATTCAACCAGATGGAGGTCATTGTCTGTGTTGGCAAGCTTCCTTGTTTAAGCTGCATGGCAACCCAATTTGAGAGTTTTGCTTATTTTCTAGGATTTAAAAAATGACAAGAGATATTGTCTCAATACACCTTAGAACAAACAAGGAAAAAAATTAAAATTCAAATACTGTTATTGAAAAGCCAAATAAAGACCCAATGTCTTCATCTGTGTAAGAAGGACATATCTTAAATTTGAAAAATCACAAAAATTATTTAAATAAAAATGAGGGTATAATCTACACACTTAAGCATCATTAAGTAGTATGTTATTTCTCTTGTGGACAAAGTTTTCAATATGTGCAGTTGTAATTATTATTATTATTATTATTATGATAATTATAGAGCGCCGTCAAATTCCGCAGCGCTTTACAATGGGTGGACGGACAGACATGTAGTTGTAATCAGACAAGTTGGACACACAGGAACAGAGGGGTTGAGGGCCCTGCTCAATGAGCTTACATGCTAGAGAGAGTGGGGTAAAATGACACAAAAAGATAAGGATAGTATTAGACTAATGACTGTTGCAGAAGAGGAATCAGTCAGGAGCTATTAGCAGTTTAATTGATACGCTTTTATGAAGAAGTGGGTTTTTAATGATTTTTTGAAGGAGTGGAGACTGGGTGAGCATCTAACAGAGGAGGGAAGCGAGTTACACAGGAATGGTGCAGTCCTCGAGAAATCTTGAAGGCGAGCATCAGAGGTGAGAGTACGGACAGAAGATAGACGTAAGTCTTCAGCAGATCGTAAGGGCCTAGAAGGGACATACTTGTGTATAAGGGAGGATAGATAGGTGGGAGCAGCATTATGTAGAGATTTAAAAGCAACAACCAGAATTTTATTAAAGGACACGGAGGCTCATATTATGCTTATCTCCTTCTTTATTGGACCTCAGCAGCAAAGAGAAGGTATAAGACATTCATAGAAAAAATTTAGAACAAGTTCTCAAAGGGTTAACACATCATTATTCCCTCAACCAATGGGAAAAGTCCACATATCCATAACCACCCATGTGACCTTTCCTTCTCCCTCTTTCTTTGCTGCTGCCTCAGTCTTAGTATTACCCAATTTTAGCTCTCTCTACTTCAGAAGAGTTTCTGTTTGGTTTTGCTAGATTTTCTATATTCCTTTATGTATTTTCATGTATATTTCTTTAAGTATAGCTTGTCTATATACTCTATTGTTGATATAAGGTTATGTGAGTTTACTATTCCTCCCTATGGTTTCCTGTACCCGGCAGTAAACCCCCTCCCTCCCTCACCTCTCCGGGTAGTTTATTACCCGCTCACCTCCAGGCATCCCGGTCCGTTCCTCTGAGAGACTCCATTGCGGCTGTCTGCCCAGCGCGGGCATTTCACGGCCGGGTGCCGCTCGAGCATGCGCACTGGCGGCCACACAGAACGTCGGCCATTGTCATCGCCGGCTCTGACAGGGATTTTGCTGCGTTTTTCCCGGCGCCCCCACGACCTGAGAGGCGGGCGCTCTCAGATTGGTCACTGACTGTGGCTGGCAGCTTGCCAGTGCTCCCTTGCGGCCATTCCGGAGGGAACACTTGGTAAGCTGACAGCATTTGTTTGTGCCTTGCCCTGTCACTCTTACCGGCCATAGAGATCAATTTCAAACTGTTTCACTTAGGGTGATTTTTTTATTACTTTCCCTCATAGGGTTTAAAGGGACAGTATTGCTGTGTTCAATCATAGCACATCTTACATACATATATATTCTGATACATTCAGATTGCCCCTTGCTCCCATTGATAGTAAGTTATTGTCCCAAGCTTGCTTCAGATTCTTTGGCTAGAATGCAGCACCCCAAGGGCCAGGAGGTTTCCACTCCTACTGCTGCCAGTAAGGACACCACACACCGCGTGTCCCCTGCTCCACGTCCAATCTCCCCCTAGGGAGAGGATGTGGCATCTATGGAGCAACTGAACTCTGAGGAGTTCCATTCACTCCTAGATGCGACAATGACCAAATCGGTCACCCAAGCCATCTACACGGTGATGGGGGCGATGTCAGATAACCTGACCCAATCCATCAGCAACGTCATCTTGGCGTCTAGCCACAACCCTAGCGGCCTCTGCCCCAAGGCCCAAGATGACAAACTTGCATCCCTCAGTGGTCGCAAGGCTACAGAAAAGACCCACCATGTAGGCAAGCAAGCTTCCAAAACAAGCATGATGGACAGGTTGCGTCCTGTCACTAATGAGTACGTGGGGATGTGGGGCCACCCGCCGGGCAAAAACGGTGAGGGCATGGAAATGGGCAAAAGCCCTAACAGAGATATCCGACTCTGATTCGGACCTTGAGGAGGTATTGAGCGAGTCCGAGGAAATCGGCTCTTTTGAATCGGAGAACTCTTCTCCAGAGTGCAGCTTAGCAGTCAAACCAGCCAACAGGGGTAAGGTGGCCACGGATGAGGCCGTCATTTTAGACCCGCAAGGGGAGCCCCTATTTAATCCGGATGACCTACAACACCCTAGGTCTATGGAATGGTTCCCAGCTGACCATGTGGCCCAATATATAGCGGCCAGGATTAGAAAACCCCTGGATAAAACCACCAGGAATAAACTTAGGGCAGAATGCCCACGTCCAACGGTCCTCGATATGGCTTGTGCCACATCGGAACTAGATCCAAAAATTGCTCAGTTCCTGGGGAAAGCTGGCTGGAAAGCCAAGAAAGGGCTGGATTACTCCCTGCGCCACTACCAGGACGAGGTGCTTGACTCCTTGGGCCCCAGTGCAAAAATTTTCGACATAGTCGAAGCTGCTCTCTCAGGTGGCACACCAGTAGACCTCTTGGCTATCCGAGAGTGGGCGCAGCACTCTATTTGCCTTAACGGCAACTCCAACGCTGCGCTAAGTACAGAGAGACACAAAGCGATCCTCATGAAGATTGACCCAAAATTGGGCAATATGGCCATATCTGAGCGTGGACCTCAGGCAAAAGGCCTCCTTTTCTGAGACAATTTCGTGAAGGAGTGGGGCACTTATGTGAGCACATTTACAGCCCTGGACAAGGCGCAAACAAACTTGAGCGAGTGTTCTCTCCAAAGGTTTTTGGGGGGGCTGGCAGACACTGGGGCCGTCTGTCCAGCCGTCCATCACGGGGCTCCTACCGGGGCTACCGAGGCCCCACTACATCCAGGTTCCCACAGATGGAGACCAGAAGTCCCTCACCCTTCTTTCCAGTCAGGGGCAGATCATGGCAACCCAGAGGACACAGGGGCGCCACATACGGCCGACGGCCTTATGGTAAGTACTCTTCCTTTCCCCCCTTCTTGTACATAATATGTGGGGGGCAGACTATCCCAATTCATCAGGGCATGCACAGACTCACGTCCGATGCCTGGATTCTCAACAAAGTTTTAGGATACCACATAGAGTTTGTCCAAACCCTAGTCCAATCAGCAGTGCCACGGCGGATGGTGTTTACCCCACAGGACAGGGAACTTGTGTCGAAGGAAATCAGAGCACTAAAGGAGAAAGGCACGATCTACCAAGTCGCGCCTCACTCCCCTGGTTTCCTGAGCAACCTGTTCCTGATTCCCAAAAAGGGCGGTGGAGTAAGGCCAGTGATCAACCTACACCCATATGTACGATATCACCACTTCAAAATGGAAGGGATTCATTGCCTGCGAGACCTTCTCAGGTTGGGGGATTGGATGGTCAAAGCAGACCTGCAAGATGCCTATCTCGTCATCCCACATAGCAAAGGATTGTCACCACCTCCTCCAATTTCAATGGAACGCACAGACGTGGAGGTTCCAGTGCCTACCATTCGGCCTATCATCAGCACCATGGTGTTTTACGAAACTGTTGAAACCGGTGGTGGCGCTGCTGCGCAGCAGAGGGGTGCGCATGATCATATATTTGGATGATCATATATTCTTACTTCAACAACAACTATCCTGGGCAATAGCGCTTCTGCACAACCTGGGATTCCTAATCAACTGGGAGAAGTCGGTACTAATCCCCTCCCAGTCCATAGAATTCCTAGGATACAATATAGAAGCAGTCCAAGGGGCCCTAAGCTTACCGCTCACAAAGATCAAAACCATCAAAAAGGAGATTCGCAGAACGTTGGCTCGCCCAACGCTGACTGTGAGACAACTAGCCAGAATAATTGGACTCCTCTCGGCATCCATACAAGTGATCTTCCCGGGACCTCTGCATTACAGGGCCCTACAGAGACTAAAAGCCGCTCAACTAGGCTCAGGTTACTCCTATTCAGACTCCGTGCCACTAGATCACACAGCCAAGGAGGAACTCAGGTGGTGGCTGCAACACATGGAAGCGTGGAATGGTAGAGCGATCTTCGGCACCGCCCCAGATTGCATAATAGAAGCCGATGCCAGCACACGGGGTTGGGGAGCGCGTTGGGGTCATATCTCCACAGTCGGAAGATGGTCCCAATCAGAAAGGGTACTGCACATCAACAGCCTGGAACTGATGGCAGGATGATTCGCGCTGTAGAGCCTCTTAGGTCCCACGACACATTGCTCCATCATCTTGAGGATGGACAACATATCGGCAGTGCAATACATCAACCGCCTCGGCGGCACCAGGTCCAAAATTTTAGCGGATTTAGCCACAGAATTCTGGCAATATTGCTTGGAACGCAACATATCAGTACGAGCCGAATACATCCCGGGACTCTCGAATATCATAGCAGATTGGAACTCCAGACACCTGCGGGATGCCAGCGACGGGCGCCTGGACCGCGGAGCGTTCCTACGACTACAGACGCTGTGGGGCCCGATGTGCATGGACCTGTTTGCGTCTCGATTGAATACACAACTTCCGGAGTTCTTCAGCTGGAGACCAGATCCAGAGGCACTAGCTACGGACGCATTCCTCCAACCATGGCCGAGCAGAAGACTGTACGCATTCCCTCCGTTCGCTCTGCTGGCACGTGGTACACCTCGACCTTGGTACACCTCGACCGCGCATGGACATCCCTGGTCCTCATAACGCCATTCTGGACAGCGCAGCCTTGGTTCCCTTCACTCATGGAGATGTCTATAGACCTTCCCAGACTGCTTCCCGAGGACCCGCGTCTCCTTTCAGATCCCGAAGGGAACCCACATCCACTGATGATGCAGGGACAACTCAGGTTGTTAGCGTGGCTCCTTTCCGGGGACCCTGGTGCGTGCCAGAGGTTCCACAGGCAACTCTCGAACTACTGGCGGGAGCCTGGGCTCCAGGTACATGGAGAGCCTACAGTCGGGCATGGAACTCCTGGAGTGGTTGGTGCATGGAACAACAAGTGGATCCCGTATGTGCCCCTGTGAACTACCTATTGCGTTTCATTACACTCCTATACGACCAAGGCCTAGCATATCGGACTATCAGTGTATACAGGTCAGCGATATCCGCTGGACACAAGGGTATAGAAGGATCCCCAGCAGGTAAACACCTACTGGTGTGCAGATTCTTACGCGGGGTTAGATTTGCAAGACCCCCACAACCCCGATATACATCAGTGTGGGATGTCAATCTAGTCTTAAACTTATTAGAACAATGGCCACAGAACTCTACTCTCACACTTAAACAACTATCAGCGAAACTGGCCATGCTCTTCTGCTTGATATCATGCAAAGGAGTCTCAGACGTCCGAGCACTGGATGTGGATGCACCCTCGTTCACTCCAACGGGAGTGACAAACCTATGTCCAATAGCCTGTCTCAAAGAATATGAGAAATGGACACAGGCATTTCGAAACCCTAGACATCATGAATTGTTCCTGGCCATTAACACGCCACACCAACTAGTATCTTCGGTAACAATAGCTCGATGGGTGAGATGGATAATGACCTCCGCAAATATAGATAACTCCATATATGGGGCACACTCCACTAGGGGAGTCATGGCGTCTAAATCATTTACTTTGGGATGCAGATTGGAAGACCTTTTGCGGACGGCAGACTGGTCCCTTGAATCCACCTTTAAGGAATATTATTTTCGCCCTACAGACCATGTATCATCGTCAGTCATTGCACAGCTTTGAACTAGCATAATATGAGCCTCCGTGTCCTTTACTAAAATTACCAGATTTTACTAATTACATGACGTAGTCATGATTTTATAAAGGACACGGAGGCGAATATTAGCCCACCCGGTAGGTATCTCATTTTTCTACCAGCTATACGAAGAGTTGAATTCCCACCTGGTAAATCTTAGAATTGAGAGTCATCGTGGGGTTTTGTCTAGATTCAATGTGATTAGGTATGATAGATATATTACCTACAGTAGCACCTACAGCAAGTAAGTTAGTCTGGGGACAATAACATGTATAGTAAGAATTGGCCATCATCACGGTGACAAACAGTCTCTAGACCACATTTTACCATTTCTTTTCTCTATCCCATTTCAGCTTGATGCACACCAGTCGACGCCTTGGATGACCAATTATCATCACAGTTCACGCGGATAAGTTCAACAGTTCCGTTTATATGAAAGAGTTCGACACACCGGATATGTTGTTCCAGTTGTTTTACTCAAGTTTATAGTGATTAAGCTTCGGCATGACCAAAGAAAGAGGGAGAAGGAAAGGTCACATTGGTGGTTATAGATATGTGGGCTGTTCCCATTGGTTGAGGGAATAATGATGTGTTAACCCTTTGAGAACTGGTTCTAAATTTTTTCTATGAATGTCTTATACCTTCTCTTTGCTGCTCAGGTACAATAAAGAAGGAGATAAGCATAATATTCGCCTCCGTGTCCTTTATAAAATCATGACTTTACGTCATGTAATTAGTAAAAATCTGGTCATTTTAAATTGAGCTCTATATTTTATAGGAAGCCAATGTAGGGACTGACAGAAGGGTGAGGCATGGGAGGTGCGGGCGGACAGGAAGATGAGCCTCGCAGCCGCATTCATTATGGACTGTAACGGCGCTAGTTGGGAGCACGTAAGACCACTGAGAGGCAGATTACAGTAGTCAAGGCGAGAAAGGATAGTGGAATGGACCAACACCTTGGTCGCATCTGGCATTAAGTAGGGGCGGATACGCACAATGTTTTTGAGATGGTGATAGATTGAACATGAGGCTTGAAGGAGAGGTTAGAGTCAAAGAGAACACTTGGGCAGCGAGCCTGTGTGGTGGAGCTGATGGTAGCACCGTTGACTTGGAGGGGGACAGACACAGGAGTAACAACACTTGAGGGAGGAAATACCAGAATTTCAGTTTTGGTCAAATTTAGTTTAAGGAAGTGGGCAGCCATCCAGTTAGAAACAGCAGAGAGGAAGTCAGAGACACTAGTCAAGAGGGATGGGGAGAGATCAGGAGAGGAC